GATTGGAACCGACTCTCTTGAAGAGCCATAAATCCACATGTCCGACATCGTGATATTGGTCCCTTTGCTCTCCGCATATCGCGCTGCGTTGGGCAGGACTTTGTCTTCTGGGTCGGCAGCTCCTTCTACACCCTCTTCTGAGCCTTGGCTTAAGGCTGACTAGCTGACTAGCACTACGGTTTAGGGTTTGGTGTTCAGTGTTTAAAAGGGCACTGAAGCCAATAAAGCCTACCTTCTTATGTGTGTCCTTATTTCGATTTTCTTCTTTTACAAAGTTGTTAAAAGGAAGATTATTTTTCCGTTTCAGGTAGGCCCCAGAAGGTGCATAAGCGGAACCCTTAACCTTCAACCCTAGACCCCATTTAGAGTGTGGGGCTTCGGCCTAGGCCAGCACATGCGCACGAACGAGAGGTGGGAATGCTAAAATTTGGTACTTAGAGGGCCCAGGGGCTTTAGTAAGTAGGTTATGGGGAGAGTTATAGGTACCCTAAAGGTAGTTACACCAATTATAAGCCTACTTATGACCGACTTACTAAGTCCTCTGGGCCTCTAAGTATACAATAGCTTCTTGAAAGAATCATTCGCAGCCACAGTTTGAAGATTCTTGATGCGGATGGGCAACATGTATTGTCTGTATTGTCCACAACAGGAAAGCCGCATTCGGGGCTTCACAATGCCGTCAAACCAGGAAAGCCCTCACCCCCACCCCCCAAACCCTGAACCTCAAAATCTTCCAAAGCCATGTACCCATAGTCTCCATTGTAGTTCCTGTTATTAGGGGTTACCAGTTTTATAGTTCGGATCCTACAAGGTAACCCTGAAAAGGAACTACAATGGAGATTACAGGTAACCCTAATTAGATATCCCGCCGCCCTAAACCCTAAACCCTAAACCCTAAACCGTCAGAAAGCGCTGAGAGATTCTGGCACGGTCCGAGGTTGCCTTTTCATTGCGCTCTTCATCGCAAACCTCTCCGAGCTTGACCAGTGGAGCCACGGCTCAAAGTGTGTAGCCCAAAGGCTCCATGTACCTTCACAGTAGATACATAAGCCCGAAAGGGGTTCCTATATAGGTACTTTAAGCCCTATGTATATACTATATGGGCACATGGAGCCTTAGGGTAATGTGGAGGCCTTAATCATTAGAACAGGGTTTTGGGGGGTTCCTTTAAAGGGTTCCTTTAACCAGGTTCTATAAGGAATAGGTTTTTTTGGGGGGGGGTTCTTTAAAGGGTTCCTTTAACAGGGTTCTATAAGGGCTGCGGCTACTATAAGGGTTTAAGGGTATAGGGGCCTTAATAAGTAGAATAGGGTTTTGGGGCCCGTCATACAAATAAGTATAAAAAGGAACCCCCGAAATAGTATTAGTACTCATTTAGGCCCCTGCATTAGGGTGTTGTTTGGGGTGTCTTAGGGTTCACAGGTTCGTGTTTCGGATTTCAGGGCCCAGGGGTTAGGTTTAGTGCTAAAGTCGGTGCAGGGCTTTCCTCTTTTCACACGTCTCATAAGAGAAGCATCAGGCGAACCCCTAAACCCCCCAAACCCCTAAGTTAAGCCCTCTGCCTTGAAAGCCTAAACCCTAAGCCTTCAACCCTAAACCCTCAAAGCCTAAACTATCAGACCTGAACCCTTCACGCATCAAGCATCAGACTTTAGTTTTTTGGAGGGATGCTTCAGGTGTAGGGACTAAAGTTCGGGGGAGGTCCCAACGCCCCTAAACCCCTTACTCCTTACACCCCGGCCGGATAAACCTTTCTCCTAAACCCTAAGCCCTGAAACCCAAACCCTGAGCCCTGAACGCTAAACCCTGGACCCTAAAACCTAAACCCTTATATAAACCCTAAGCCCAAAGGCCCAGAGGTTCAAGGCCCAGGCTCTTGGCTTAGATCTCAGCATGTAGCATGGCCATGCCTGACCATACTGGCTACATGTGTCGATCGATCGTCCGAAGCCTTTGTGGCCTGACGGTTTAGGGGTTCGGTTGTAGGGTTTAGGGCTGTAGGGTTGTAGGGTTTAGGGTTGTAGGCTTGTAGGGTTTAGGGTTTAGGGTTTAGGGTTTAGGGTTTAGACCGACCGAGACTTCTACAGGACCGTTGTGAAATACGTGATGTTATTTCCTGCCTAGCCTGAAAACCTGGCCCCTAGCAACGTACAGTACGTTTTCGAGCGCTCATGTGAGCAACTCACAAATAGCCTGGAACCTCAAAGCGGTAGGGTATTCGGGCTTAAGGCCCGCCTAAATGCGTCTGGCAGCCGTACACTCCCCTTTTTAGGCCACTCGAAGCCCCTAAACCAGAAACCTAAACGGTTCAGGGTTACCCGAGTCGTCAATAAACCCTGAACCCTGTAGACCCTAGTCCCAAAACCGTAAAACGCTGAACCCTAACCTCTAAACCCCTAAACCCTTAAGACAAGCTGAACCCCTAAACCTAAACCCTACCGACTCCTCCAATCCAAATAATAAGTGAGGCAACATTGTTTTTTAGCATTTTGTCCCGGTGCTGAACAAAGCGGAGGCCTCCGAAACTCCCCTTACAAGGGACCTTCACCGGATTGTTCTGTTTTGGCAACTCTAAACCATTTTTCCCCACAAGACCTTAAACCCTAGCCGGTTGAACTTTGAAAAGGTTACTAAAGGACCCCATGCAATTCTCTCAAGGGCTCCAGATCTTTTGCTTGAAGTCCCGGTACACCTCAACACTTAGACGACGGTTCTTTCATGAGGAAGTGGCTGCTCACCTTCGCGGTCATCGTGGTGCGAATTGCCATAGTTCAGCCGCACTTTGGTTCCAAAGTGGAGGTAGGGTCTTGGTGCCTACAGTAGTTCTGGTTGAGCTTTACAACGAGGTTCCATGACCCTGAGTTGGCAAAGCGGGACTCATGCATTGAGTTTTCGGGCTTGAAAATGAAAACCCTGAACCCCAGCCCGAAGGATCCAAGTACATAATAATCATATACTCTCCCAAATATTAACCTAAACAACCACTATCCGTATCCCAGGTACCTTATTCTTGGGTCCTTTGACTTTGGACCCTTGGGGCAAACCCTAACCGTTCTTTGATTGATGTCTCATAGGCCGATGGAGCTTCCTAGTCATGTCCCCAAAGCTGCGTTTGAAGACCGAAGCCATCCTAAACCCTAAACCCTAAACCCTAAACCCTAAACCCTAAACCCTAAACCATCCTAGACTTAACCCTAATTACCCTCCAGATACCTACTATACAGGGCCCCAGAGGCTCCAGTACCCTATAAAGTAGACCCTAAACCCTAAACCCTAAACCCTAAACCCTAAACCCTAAACCCTAAACCCTGGGGGGTTAGGGTAAGACTGGTGCAGCCAGAAGAGCTGGAACCTGGGGAGCTGGTCCTGTTCAGTTGAGGTGCTTGAGACGCAGCTGATGATGCCAGTGGTGGTGGTTGCGGTTGTGGTGGTGGTGGTGGTGGTGGTGGCGGCGGCGGTGGTGGTGGTGGGTGGTG